CAGCCATGGTCAAGTAGGACCTTTGACTTATCTTCACATAGATGGAACTGGTAAAAGAAAGGAGTCAGGGGCTCCTCCCAAGCCCATGTGACCCCTGAGGAACAGATCCTTAAAGACCTTAAAAGTAAAAATAAATGGTTTATTTGGGCCAACTGTATCGTCTTAAACACTCAAAAGGAAAATATAACCAAAGATTAAAGTGATCAGTATATTTCTTTAAGAGTTCAGGGGGCTAGAGATGGCTCAGCAGATAAGAACACTAGTTGCTCTTGCAGAAGACCCGGGTTCGAATCCCAGCACCCACATGGCAGCTAACAACTGTCCGTAACTCCAGTTCCAGGGGATCCAACGACCTCTTCTGTCCTCTGCGGGCACTGAACGACACGGGTGCACTTACCTACATGCAGGCAATACACTCATACACATAAAATAAAAAATAATAAACTGTATTTTTTAAAAAAGAGTTCAAGGGATTACACTTCCCAGACATTAGACTTAAGTCCATATAAAATGGTATTTAGACAATTATTTCTCATTGATGATTTTGTTTTTAGTAAGAAAGTGGTGCGCAGATGTAGACTTGAAATCTTGGTCTGCAATACTGTAGTGCCTACTTGTAGCTAAGGGAGACAACTCTGTTTTCTCCCCTTATCTAGAAGCCTTTGAAAAGGAATCGACACTGATTCTAGCCACTCTAACAGCTATCAAAGTGCCTGAAAACAAATCCTGAGTTCATCACTCTCAAGTCCAGCCTTGGTAGACAAAATGAGGAGGAACCCAATAAAGGGATGCTTTTGGAAGCTCTCATCAAGAAATTCCAATGGACTCTGATATGAACATTTGAAATTTGTCCTGTTCTGACTTTTTCCTGGTTCCCTGTCTAGAACTTGTAATACTAATTACTCTTGCCTTTACTTCTCCTTCACATCTCCTAGGCATCAGTCAAGGTCTTTCTTCCCTCCCTGCAGTTAAGAGTTATACAACTAAGGAGTTTTTAAAACTGGATACACCACCAAGATTTATTAGAATACTTACCCTTGAATCTTGACACCTTTGTCTTTTACTTAATAAGATAACCTGAAAATCTTTCTATACCCTTGCCACCTTCTTTTCAATACTATATTTTCTTCTTACCAAGTAATGACATTAGTTAATAGTCTATTGACTAATACTGGTGATATTTTCCCTTATTCCTAAATTAATGGGAATGCTTCCATTTAACTGTAATGTTGGCTTTTAGGGGATCATGCCCAGGACCTTATACATACACTACCACTGAGCTACAACCTATGTCCTAAGTTTATGATATACTTTGCATTAAAATATTATTTACCTCTTCTTGCTTCTCAAAGGTTTTTAAAAAAATATTCTATTATTTTCATTTTTTTGTGTATGAATGTATTGCCTGAATGTATGTTAAGTGCACCTGTGTCAGAAGAGGGTGTTGGATGCGCCTGGAACTGGAGTTTCAGAAGGTTGAAACTGCCATATGGGTGCTAGGAATCAAACCCAGGTTCTCTGTAAGAACAGCTAGTGCTCTTAACCCCTGAGCCATCTCTCCAGCTTTCCTCAATGGTTTTTAAAAAAGAACAGGTATTGAATTTTGACAAGTATCTTTTGGACATATAATCATGTAGTTTTTGCCTTTAAATATATAGAAAAGTACATGAGAAGAATTCCTTGTATTAAAGAAATGATGATTTGGGGGGGGCTTGGAAAGATGGTTCAGTGGGTAAAGGTGCTTGCTGCCAAGCCTGATAACCTAAGAGCAATCCCTAGGACCCACATGGTAGAAGGGGCGAGTCAACTCCTGAAAGCTGTCCTCTGATCTCACAAGCATGCTGTGGTGTGAGTGTGCCCACACATATACATATGCACATAAACATTAAAAAAGAATTGGAGGCAGAGGCAGGCGGATCATTGTGAGTTCGAGGCCAGCCTGGTCTACATAGTGGGTTCCAGGACAGCTGGGGCTACAAGGAGACCCTGTCTCAAAAAAAACAAAAAACAAACAAACAAAAAAAAAACACAAACAAACAAAAAGAATTGATAAGACGAAATTTCCTTATTGTGACGAATTTTATTTAAAATTTAATTAAGTTGCTTCTATCAGAATTGATATGTAATACTTTTCTGTAGATATGATACTTTATGATATCATCTGGCTATGTGACCCAAACTAACTTCAAACTCATAATCCTCCTTTCTCAGCCTCCCAAATGCTTGGAACTGGAGTTGGGCACTACTTGTGTGGCTACAACAAGATTTTTATAAAAGAAAATTTTTAAGTAGAATTAATTCCTTTACTGATATGATCTGTTTAAGTTTTCTTTTTCATCTGGAAACAATTTTGTTAATTTATATTTTCATAGACTATCACTTCTTTACAACTTATCTGTATTAAAGTGTTTTTTGTTTGTTTGTTTTTGGTCTTTTTGAAACAGGGTCTTCCTGTAGCCCCAGCTGGCCTGGCACATGTTATGTAGACCAGGCTAGCCTCAATCTCACAGAGATCCACCCGCCTCTGCCTCCCAAGTCCTGGGACTAACGGCATGCACCACCACACCCAGCTCTGTATTAAAGTTTATAAAACAAATTGTTTGACTTTCCTCAATATTTAAACTATTTTTCTTTTGTTCTACTTGTGTGCAAGATTTATTTTCTGAATTAAGCTTATTTCAGCTTTAAAAAAAAAGCTTTTGC